CGGAAACGGACTCTACTCGGTAATACCGCAACCGGAAGTTAACTCGGCAACGCGACAATCCGCGTTCCGAGGCGACAGCACAATGCTCGGCGACATAATTATAGCAAGCGTGCCTACGCGACGCGATACTAAACAGTAACGCAACTACAATAAGCGTCATTACACGACACGACGAGACTCGACAACGTGACTACTCTTCGCGTTTCTACGCGACTCTACTCTACTCGGAAACCGGAAGTGACTCCCCTGTGGCGAGAGGAACGAGCACGACTCGGCCCTCGATTCGCTCCAAACGACTCTAATCTACTTCTACTCGGTAATGAATATTACTCCCCTTACTCTGACTCTCGAAACGCGACAACTAATGATTTCCAAGCTCGGAAGGATGGCACGTGGCTCGCGGTTCCGCGGCTCTACACGGCGGCCATTGCGCCGATTCTATCGTTACGGTGTGAGCTGGCTTACGTGCGATCCACCCGGCGACATATCCCGGTCGGCAGCTTCACAGGCGACGACGCTCGTCTCACCCTCGTCGTCTTCTTCGTCCTCCCGGCCTCCTCTCGCCAATCTCTCGATAGCCTTCTGCGTCCGTGTAGTCGTTCTCGGCGACAGCGATCTCGCACTCCCCTTACAATACTCGGCTCGCTCGTCCACAGAAAGAGTGAGGCCCGGGAACTCCCGGCGGATTCTCGCAGGCTGCTTAGCGCTCCCCCCCTCCTGCGGGGGGAGGTAGTCACGCTGATTGGCTTCCGCGTGTCACGGTATTCGCGCGTGCCGTGCAGGCCCGCGCGGCCTTGAATCCTCGCTCATACGAGCGCGCCATGAACGTCCCTGTCAAGGGTGGCGCCTCTGCCCACAGCCCCTGCACTTCCTAGCCTGGCGGAGAAGATCGGGATGGATTTCCTTCTCGCTCCCCGTCGGGGCCCTAGGCTCCCGATGGGCGTCCGTCCGGCTCCTCAAGGGTGGCCGGGAATTCTGGCCTCTTCCGGTGATCTGCAAGGGGTGCATGGTGAAAGTATGGTTCCTTTTGTATGCGACAGCAGTTACAAGGAATGATATGAAATGATACAATCTGCTAATCCGGGTTCCCGGATGTGCGTCCCTCTCTCTTAGCTTTTTCGGCCTTCCTTTCGATTCTGTCCCTCTTCGGTCTTCCTTCCAAGGGTGGCGGGTGAGACGACACGATGATACAATGCAATTTCACAGCAGCTGCCGAGCGTGATCCGTGGCCCGTCTACGCTTCCTGACACGCTTGATCATTATGCAAAAGAAATACTAATATAAAAGAAGAAAACCTGCCGAGTAAAATAAATGACGCGAGTTTTAACACACGTTCGCAGGTGCTCTTGCACGCGCGCTCGCGTGCGTCCTCGCCTACGTGCTCGCCTTTTGAGCCGGTAGGAAGCGCGAGTCCGCTGTCGACAAGTCCGCACAGTAACGGACAAAATGTCACGTCACAGTGTGTATGTATGTATGTATAAACGTATGTATAAACGTATGTATAAACATATATATAAACGTATGTATGTATAAACGTATGTATGAACGTATGTACGTATAAACGTATGTATGCATGTATGAACGTATGTATAAACGTATGTACATATAAACGTATGTATAAACGTATGTATAAACGTATGTATAAACGTATGTATAAACGTATGTATAAACTCGTGACAAAGAAAATACGTAGAAGGACATGATAAAACGTGTTGCGACACGTTCGAAATTCTTGAATTGAGGGGGACAGCCTGCCCCTTCTTCGATTTTGGAAGTATCTGGAGACACTGGTAGTGTCTCGGTGCTAAGCTGCGCAAAGCGACACTGCCGTGCCTCCTTTACACGAACCGACGAGTTGCGGCAGATCGAGATTATAGGATCTCAATAATCGGCTGAATCGATCGCGTTCTATGTATGCTCAATCGATAGCCACCACACGAATTGTATC